TGAGTTCTATAAGACATGCAAAGACGTTTTCTTTTAGATTGCTTAACTTCTCATCTACTATGTATATAAAGTGTATATTGCTTCTATTACTCCTCTTTTTTTCTCTGAAACCAAACCAGCTCTCTATTAATTTTTCTGCTGTTTTTTTTTACCTTTTTATATACCATGCTTTCCTATATGTTGTAAGCTGTACAACTTAATGATATTCCTTTTGTCAAAGTTGTCTTTTTCACTTTTTTTATCGATCAGTTATATCGCACTTATTTTTCCCCTTTTTTGACAAACCTGCTTTCTTCTAAACTTTTTTTGATTAGCTCCCATATAGCTGTTTCTACTTCCTGTGGCATATGCTTCCTAATTTCATTTTACAATTTGTCATCTCTTGGTGATTTGTTCAACTGTAATCACGCAACATTCTTTTTTTAATTCTTTCGTGCTTACCTCTTTTCGATCCCCTGTATTACTATGAACTCTTATGCTTTTTTTTTTACTAAAGATTTACTGCTTTACTATAATTTTTTCTCCATTTTTGCCTTCCAGCTTTTCTATCATGTGTCTATACTAATCCTCGATTTCAATATTTTTGTTTATCAAATCCTTTCTTTTTCTGAAACTAATAATTAATATACTTGTAAACTTGTTCCGACTTTACTTTGCTTACATTCTTCTTTCGTTGTATGAAACTTTTTTTTACCTCCTACCAATTTTTGTACTTCCTTTTTTTGTATACAAAAAATTTCTTCTTTCTATTTTTTTCCATAATCTTTTTTTTTTCTTAGTTTTTTATTTTTCATTCCTTATCGTACTATTTTCTTTTTTTTAGTTCCCATTTTTTAAATTACTTTTAATCCTCACGTATGTAATTTTCTATAAATGTTTTAATTTCTTGTTATTTTAAATTAATCTCCTCTTCATTCTATGTCCAATAACATTTTGTGTCGATTCTCTTTTTGATATTTCCCTCGTCTTAACTTCTCTCATTTCTATTGCTTCCGTCCCTTTTTGAGGTTAACTTCTAATGGAATATAGTTCAATTCTGTTCTGTTTTATTTTCATTTTGCCTATATGATTGAATCCTTCTTGATTTTCTATAACATAATCCATCAATATTTTCTCTCTACTGCCAACATAGGTAAGCTCTCGTTCTTCTCCTTTTGTGAATTCACTATACACTATCCTTTTTCGGTAATTTTTTTTAAAAGTTTTTTTTTGCTTTTTCATTGATTATCTTGTCCTTTGCTTTTATTGTCTTAACTTCTTTGCTTTCAAAATTCATTTCGTTGATCTATCCATTTCCTTAACCTGTTTTCACATTCTAATCTTCTGCTGACATGACACTTTTGGTATCTTGTGTTTTTATGTTTTCCTTGACGATTTTCATTTATTCTGTTAGATCTGAACTATAAACTCCAATTATTTTTGATCTCTGATTTTTTCGTTTTTTTTTCTTGCATCATTGTATTTTTACTCCATACTTTAAAATCCTTCATTAGTGATCTTCTTACTGATTCCTGCAATCATTTTTTCTTCTACTCTACCTTATTTTATGATCCCTCAATACTGGTATACACTTCGATTCAACACCTATTGGTTACTTGCTTTTTCAATTCAGTCACTTGTCTTTCCATATCTACGTTTTTACCAATGCTTTTTTCATTCAATTTATTCAGAATAAATGTTTGTATTTCTATCTCTTTTTATATGAGATCGTTTTTTACGTACATTCTTTTATCCAGTAAAATCTTGTTAGAACCGAAGTTATTTACCACGAGTTACGATCAGATATGTACTCCCCACGTATTTACTATGTAAAAGGACGGTTGGAAATGGGGACCCATCAGCAAAAAAGTATAAGAAAAAGCGTGCACTTGTAGGGAGGGGGAGCATAGAGTAGCAGAGGTGACATAGACAGAGAGCAAGAGAGAGAGAGAGAGAGAGAGAGAGGTAACCAGCGCAGGGACTCATCAGCCAGAAATTGTAAAAAAAGCATGCACCTGAAGGGAGGGGGGCAAACAAAGTAGTAGTGGCGAGTGTGGTGGCATAGAGAGAGAGAGAGAGAGAGAGAGAGAGTCAGCTAGCGCAGGGACCTATCAGCCAGATAGCATAAAAAAAAGCGTGCACCCCCATTTTCGCTAGCCAAAAAAAGCTAAATTGTAGAGAATTTGATTACGAATCGAATGCGATAAGAATTTTTGCAAACCGATTTTCATTAAAGAGTGGGAGCACTTTTTTGTTCGATACGCATACACACGACTGCCATACCCATCCAAACTCAGGTACCACTATCACATAACTAGTAGGGAATTAGTGGCAAATTTAAATACTAAATTTTTAAAAAAAATAAAAACAGCAAGTATTGAATACGCGTGTACGCGCATACCAAGCATCCCACAAAAAGGTGTTTAAGGAGACTGAATGTGTGCGCATTATTTTACAATGCGCATATACTTCTGCGTACTCACTGGTAGAGGAACAAGTACGACCAGTGGACTGATTTTAGTAAATTATATACTTAATCAAATTCGAGTTTTACCGATACACAACACGCAACTTGATCGTTCTCAAAAACAATCATACTTGAGTTAGCATAAGCCAATAATTTCTATGATGGAAATAAATGATTAATTTTTTTTACCGAATTTGAATTTTTTAATTTGTTTTTTTAATGTTTGCATCAATACATTTTGTATTTTTATAATTAAAGCTTACGATATTTTAAACAAATTACTTCTTGCGTATTTTATTATTTGTTTCTCGTTTTTATTAACATAAAATAACATATTTGATACTTAATAATCATCACTTTAAATGAACCATTAGACAAAAATCGTTTTATACATGACAAACGTACAGGGGAAACATATACCGCCATAATCCACAAAAAAAGACGTATTGAGCTTACATGTACTTATGAACCTTTTATTTTATAGCATATGCAAGTGATTTCTACGTACATGCAAGAACTTCGTTGTGACCAAGGGACTCCGAGTCCGACACGTTTGCTTTTTATAACTTCTTCTTATATTATTCTGCTACTAGCTTAAGCGCAATAAGTTTATTTTGACTTCCTCCTTATTGAATCAGTATTTTCGTTACTTTCTGAACTTTAAAGTAATCTATGATTTTCTGTGAGATAAATTTTTCTACATTTGTCTTGAGGTTTTTCTTTCCTGTGTTTGCTTATTTAACGGTAATGTCTTGTCTTTTTTTACCTCTTATCCTTTTTCCTTTCTCATTTTAGTCTAATGACTCTATTTTGTAAGACTTTTATCTCCTATGACCACTATTGTCACTCTTCTATGCACACCTTGCTTTTTTTAAATTAATTTCTGTTTTCTTTTTTAAATTTTTCTATAATCTTATCACACACTCATTCTACTGTATTTTGTCATCTTTCTAGATCTTGGATTTCCTTATTTCGTTTCTGGCTGTTTCATCATAAATTTAATCGTAGTTTAATTCACTGGTTTTGTGTCGTCTATACCGACGTTGCTTCTGGTATTAATGTTGGCTGTATCTACCATTATTACGTTGATTTTCCAATAAAACTTTTATTATATGTAAATAAAATAGCGATTATCTGTTTCTTCAACGAATAAATAAGATATCTTTTTCAAAATTTTAATTTTATATTTTTTATCTTTCTTGATGTTTGAAATTTAGGTTTTTGTAAATTTCCAACTAATACTGAAGATCCCTTTCTTATTAATCACTTCAAGTAGTCTCTCGGTTGGAAATTGAAATCAGTAAGCGCTTAAGCATAAGCTTGGCTGACAAGATTTCAATATTGGTCCAAGCTTGGCAGCGAAACGGCACGCTGGTCAGGACGCGCGACTAAGCCTGATTTAGCTTGACTGCTCCCAAGTCACTGCCAGAATTTGTTGACATATGTATGTAATATCCATAGGGATAGTCAGCAAAACTCTTGCGATGAATGCGCAGACAGTGTTTTTGATTACCACTTATTCTGTTTCTTTCACAAACTTAATCATAAGAAACTTTACGTGCTCTCACTGTCAATCACTTTTACGTTACTTTGTCTTTCTGATACTCATTAAAATTTTTTTTTAATTTTGAGTTTACTGCCTATTGGGCAACTTTTTATTTTTTCACGTGTTGAAACCTGTACTAAAGTTTTAACGCTTTTGTTTCTACACAAATTTATACTTTTGCACTAACTCTCTGAGGCACATCTCTTTTACTACGCGTTCACCAATTAAGTCTGTTGTAGTTTTTACTTTAGTGAAATCGTTTACTGGACCAGTAAAGTAGTAACCATAAAAATTATGGTAATGACATTCAACAATTAAATTTAGAGTTATTTAAAATATTTGCTTTAATGGGATTGTTTGCAAGAAGAATATTAATTAGAATAACTTTAAGATTATCAACAGCAATGTAAAAAAGTATGAAAATGACATGCTATTTTGAATTCATGGGTAATTTACAAAGTTTCTCCAATAATATTGTCGTCAAAGTGTTATGCAGTAAATTTTGGAAAATGCAACTTTCGGATGGTTCGACATCTACAATCTAGAAAACCAAGAACATGACTTAATACATTAGAATTGTATGATGTTTAAAAAATCAGTTCCTATGGCTTTATTGTAACAGAAGTTAGTTATGCAGTTTTTCTGTTACAACGACTGACTTATTACGACTGCACTCAAAAAATCTATACAATAAAAAAATTTGTCAATTTTTTTATTGTCGTACAATCAATGTTCGCTTGGTATGTAGGAAGATCATTAAATTGGGGTTGCCCAAAAATGTCAGATCATGCGATGTCTCTTAGAGCGGGGCATGATATAAGATTTCGGTTGATATTTCAATATTCATAGCTATTTTTAAAATTTTTTTCCAATTTGCTGAGACTTTTTTTTTTTTCCTCATTTTTTCTAATAGTATTGTAAACGTTAGAAAACGTATGGCAATCCAGTAATGTTTCATAATATATGAATATTTTATAGCATTTTTTACAAAAATATTGTAGTTCTTACCTCAATACCAGGTTTAAGAAGCCTCAACGCTGCCTCCGAAGCATAGAATGCAGCTAAAACGACATCAGCCTTCCGTCCACAAATTTTTAGTTTTTGTGAAGCTTTTACAACAATGGTATGTGCTACCACTGCAATAAATCCGTCGATGTGAGCCCCTAAATCACTGTAAAGATCAAATAAATAGATTATAAAATTTTAAGTAAGTCAATATAAAAAAATTTAGCAAAAGTTAGTCCCTATTTGTACTGTATTTGATTCTTCGAGTACCCCTGGCTAGGTTTTTACGTATATTGATTTCTACCTGTATCACGTTATACTGTTTTTTTTCAGCTCCTCCCTATCTCCAAGATCAACGAAACTTTTGGCAAGCCCTAGTAAATCTTCTCAAACAAAAAGTTAGTTATGCTACTGAGAACTATTTGCATAGCACAGTGATTGTTTGAAGCATTTTTAAGTCGTAATAGATTTAATTGAAAGATCTCTTCTACCAATAATTTACCTTCAAATATCTAAATTGTTAAAACTGATAGAGATTTAACCTACGAGCTGATCAGGTATTGGCTATTCTCAGAAAAGAAGATCCTGAAGGTGCAAACATTATCGGAGAAGATATACTTTTCAGTTTTTTGTCAAAATTTGAACCCACGACCATTTTAAAATAGTTACAAAAGTACCCACTAAGGATTAACTTGAATACATGTAGCTTAGAAATAGGAAATAAAAAGAGTTCTTACAATACATTTGTTAGAAATGTAGCTCCTGAAAAAGATGTATGTATAAAATTTTTTAATAATTATAATAAGCTACTAATATCAAACTAAAGAGTCTACTACGCACTATTTTCAGCACTTTTAGTCCATCCATGTCCTTTTATGATAGCAAATAACTTCGAAAATTATAAGTTTAAAGAAATTCCAAACTATTTACAAGAATAGAAAAAAACTTTCCCCAAGTGTGGATCGCAAACACAACCTCCTGCACTCTGGACAGTTGCTCTACCATTTTTAATCTAACCTTATTACTTCATTAAACAAAATTTATGAGAACCTGTGGTGTGCGAGAGTGCATGACTCTTTGGTAGCTAAGTGGCAGTGTCACGAGAACACGACGGTTCGTCGTCGTCTCAGAGCATTAGCGAGCAAGCACGACACCAATCGCCAGAAGTGCCAGACCTCTCGAGTCCTGAAAAGGAGTCCCTGAGGACCCGCACTCGTGTCTAGCGCTTCTTTGTAGGCTGCAGTCTTTGCAAGCGCCACTAAATGCTTGGTGCTTTCCCTTGCTGATAAGTAAGTAAACTTAGCGCAGCATGGGGCTACATTAGCTCACAATCCTTCAAAAATTTTAGCCACTTTACTTTTGTGCTGATTGGGCTTTTCTCCTGGCTTTTTCTAGCACTCGTCTCAAGATAGGGCAGCTTCCACTGCCGGCTTCGTGTTTTCTGTCCCCTGTTTCGCAAAGGAAACACCTCGCAGTTTTACTGCAGTCTTTTTTGCGATGCCTACAGCTTCCACATTTGAAGCACAGCTTAGATCGGTTTTCTTCTTTACAGTCATAAGATACGTGACCATACCCCAGAAATTTAAAACACCTTGTTATCACTAGCCTTTTTTTAACACGGCAGGAGACAAAGAGAATATTGACCCAGCCTGCGTGCTCAACTTCCTTGGCAACTGTTTCGTCAAGGGTCACGAGCGCCATTCTTTGACTTTTATCGTTTGCTTTGCGAAGCTGAACTTTAACTTCTTGGTTACATTTTCTGACAATCTTCTTAATAGATTCCTTGATTTCTTCTTCCTTGACAATACTGTCCAAATCTCAGATCTCAAGCGTCACATTTCGTGCAATAGCAACCACCGCTTCTTGGCCCTCTACTGACTCTTCCTCATGTTAAGCAAATTTTTCGACATCCTCAACTACTTTAGCTTTTAGAATCAAGTCTCCTTTTTTAGTGGCGAAAACACTCTAGACCACTACTCCTGTCTTTCCAGGGTTGAAGACTGCTTTTATCGTCTTAAGTATACTGACAAAGGTTTGTCCTTTTTCAACCCTTACCGGGAAATTTTTTATCGTGTCATGGCCTTTTGTTTGGGCACTCTTATGATTAGAAGAAACCTCTTTCCTTTCGCCGTCGCTAGTTCCCTTTGTTTTTAGGGTCACTGCTCTTTGCCATTTTTTAGGGCTTTTTGAGGGATTTCTGTTTTGCATCGTCCATGCAATTTCCTTAAGGGAAGTGTTTAGAGTTCTTTTCTGGAACTGCCGACATTTTATGTCTGATTACCAAAGACAGCAACGTTGGATTCTTAACTCACGTTACTGCCGATACTTGAAAGACTTGTTCATCGCCTTTTATCAAATAAAAGCCATAGGACATCTAATAGTCCCTGCCAGCGAGGAATAGCGTCTTTGTGCCCCCCACCCCCCATAATTCGTGGGGCCTGCGACAGTCACCCAGCCTTTTATCGGATCACAACTGCTGTCGAATTCTCTCTAAAAGGTGGATCACCTGGAAAATCACCTGGAGTACTTGTTTTTCATTGACGTTCTTCATTTTGGCATCTTTTTTTCATGACGTGATGACCCGTAAAGGCTAGCACACTGCCCTCTTTTTCTAGAATAAAGATTTGAAAAGGGTAAAAACCAAGACAGCAGCTCTCTCTGTGTCCAGAGAAGGGTTCTATTAACTCAGACTGGTCAGGAGTCGCCACTCCTCCTCAGTTCCACCCGCGGATACTGACCTGGCGTTGTGTACAAATTGTGAAAGTAGTGAATGTGTGTGGTTAATGTTTATGTAAGCAAACTACAAGTTCCTCAGGGCAAAGAGCAACAGGCATACAATCCCGTGACCAGAGCAGAGAACCCACCAAAACGAGCTAGCGTAAACAATGCACTAAAAGTGCTGCCATGTAGCCTCCTCAGTGGTAATTAGCCTAGATTAGTCAGCCCACCACGTCTTTTTTGTTAACGAGGCGTGCAGCTATATTAGATGTGGTTACCCGGCATTGTCTGAGCCTTATCATCTGGCTTTACCCACTACCAGGCCCCCTACGCCAGCCAGGAAGAGACCTAGCCACCCGCAACCCGGAACAACTCGTGAGTATACCTGTGTTAGTGTAGTGAGAGTGTAGTGCCTGTATCTGAGAAGAATGTTGTAACCACCGCTTACCTCTACACACGACGGGGTGGTATGCTGCCAGCTTAAAGCCTCCTCACCCGACCCTGGCTGTAAGCAGTACGGTCTTCGACAAGGTTACGCTTACCACGGAGGGTAAGTATAGTAGTGGTAGTATTGGTAGTAATGGTAGTACTGTTAGTAGTGGTAGTTACCTCATGTAGCGCGCTCTTCTAAACACACGACAGTTTTGACTGCCAGCTTGGTGCTTATTTTCTGCCGTTGGGTGGAGGAAACACCTAGCTGGACTAGGTCACTCTTTTTTCGGTAGTTTGAGCTTCTGCATTGGCAGCATAGCTGGCACCAATAAACCTTTTTATAGTCAACAGAGACATGTCTGTATTCCAAGCATCTGTAACACCTTGTTATCATTATTCTTTTCCAGACTTGGTAGCTTACAAAGCCGACTTTCAGTCTGCCTACATTTTCTGCTTGTCTCGTAATATTTTTGTCTACCGTTATGATCGCCACTGTCTGTTCTCTAGTGTTAGGTTTCAGGGGTGCCACTTTGAGGTCAGTACATTCATGTCTGAAAGTCTCTTCAAAAGCCTCGTTAACCTCTTTTTCTTTAACTATGACATCCAGAACTTGAACTTCTAGTGTCACTTTCTTGTATGATTACTATCGTTCTTTGTTCTGTCACCGACATTTCAACGTGTTGTGAGAGCGCAGCCACATCTTTCACACCTTTGGCTCTAATCAGGATGTCATCTTTTTTTAGTTGTGACAACGCTTTGTGCAGTAAGTTTAACCTCACCTGAGTGAAAATTTTGCCTTTATTGATTTGAGCTCATTAGCAAAGGTATGCCGTTCGGCTACTTTTACCGATACTTTCGATGTTTTTTCCATTCTATTTTTCTGACCCTTACTGCTTGTCAGAAAAACCTCTTTAACTTGGCCTTTTCCTGTTTTTTTTTTTTTTTTTTTTTTTTTTTTTGTTAAAGAACACAGCTTTTCTTCGTTTTTAGGGTGGTCTAAAGGACTTCTATTTATTTTGACGCGTTTTATTTTCATAAGGGCGGAATTCAGAGTTTTCTTCCGAATATGCCATCAAAAATTAGCCCTTCTGAGTTTCCTGATTTCCAAAGAATTAAAACACTTTTTCCAGAATTTGTAGTAAATTTTGTAAGTAATGAAAAACGCTCTCTCCAATAATTTCTTCCGATTCAAGGTGTTTAATAAGGCCATCCTAAACAACTTTTGACGTGTTGCCATACTTCTGGTTGATGACTTCGAGCGTCTTCTTGATCGATTTTGTTACAGATCAAACTTGCTTAGTATCTTTATTTCATTGTAGCCTTAGTTCTGCACCATTTCTTACTATAAGGTCGAGCTTACCCTTCGTCTAAAGACGCTTCTATCACTCTCGTGGCTTACGTTGCTACCTTAGCTTGAAAGGCTAAGTGTTTTACTTTTATCTAGTAATGGCCATCTCAGGTTCAACAAACCTTGCTGATCACCTAAATCGTCTTTGTGCCTTCCTCCCCTCCACGGAGGATCCGCGATAGATCCGCGGGGATCTGCGATAGTCACTCGGGCTTTCACCGAATCGGAAATGCCGGCGGATTCCCTCAAAGAGATACCGCCTGAGATACTTGTTTTGCATCAACGTTCTTTATTGTAGTATTTTCTTTATGGTATGCTGACTAGTAAAGGCCAGCATTAAATTTTTTTTCTAGAGCAAAGATCTAAAAAGGGTGAAAACCAGCGAAGTAGCTTTTGCTGTTAACAGAGAAAGGCACTACTTTTTTGGGCCAGCCAGGAATCACCACTCTCCTTCAGTTCTACCTGCAGAGGCTGTCCTGGCAATGTATGTAGAGTGCGAAAATGGTGATTGTGTGCAGTAAATGTTGATCTAGACATACCACAAGTACCCTACAAGTACAAGAAACAGACATACAAGCCTATGATTGGAGCAGTGAATTCGACAAAACAGGCTGGCGTAAACAATGCACCGTAAAGTGCCAATATGTAGCCTTTTCAGTGGTAGTAAG